GGAGGAAGTTGCATTCTGGAACCCTTCGCCCAATAAGGACGAAGTCATTGAACGGACGGCGATCGTGCCTGATGTTGCCGTGCCGGCACGGTTTCAGCACGAAGTCACTATCCACCAGGGTCGCATTGAGAGGATCCTAGAGACTGATCTCCTGCGGTACTCGAAGAGAGGGGTGCAGCGGGATACTAAGCTCCTCGACGTGAAAATCGATGAGGATGGCGATTCTGAGTTCCCAGTTGTGGCAGAGATCGAGACGGCGGGCCAACGGCGGACAGTTCGATCGAAGTATTTGGTTGGGGCGGACGGCGCCCATTCCGTGGTCCGTCGTTCTATGGGTCTGAAGTTGGTGGGCGAGTCGCTGGATCACATCTGGGGTGTGGTTGACCTCGTTGTCGATACCGATTTTCCTGATATCCGGAGACGCTGTGCAATTCATGCCCCGGCTACCTCGGTGATGGTAATTCCGCGAGAGCGGATTGCGACCGGTGACTATTTGACCCGGTTGTATGTCCAGATGCCAGATGAGGCCACCCCAGATGAGGATCAGAAGCCGGTGAACGAGTCCACACCAAAGGATGCGCGAGCCCGCAGGAGCCAGGTCACTCTTGACGGAATCTTTCAAAATGCGGCCGAAGCCTTCAAGCCGTACTATATCCGACCGAAGGTAGAGGGCGCCGTAGACTGGTGGGCGGCGTATCAGATTGGCCAGCGAGTGTCGGATCGTTTCACAGTGAAAGATTCAAATGGAGCCAATCGTGTCTTCATTGTAGGGGATGGTTCGTATATCCCTTCTGAATTGGGGTGCTGCATGCTAATTCTCAACTCTTGCCAGCTTGCCATACTCACAGCCCCAAGGTATGTATCTTCCATCATCAAATGTCAAGCTCCCACATACTCACAATATTAGGCGGGCCAAGGGATGAACGTTTCCATGATGGATTCCTACAACCTAGCCTGGAAATTGGCGTACGCGATCAACGGTCTCACTCCCGATTCGACCTCGCCCGGAAAGCCTGACACTGTTCTGGATACGTACCACACCGAGCGTCACACAATTGCCCAGCAACTTATAGAGTTTGACCGTGCCTTTTCGTCCATGTTCTCTGGAAAGATCGGCGCAGCAGAGGACGGCGCGGACGGCCTGACACATGAGCAATTCTTGGAAGTGTTCAGTACGGGCAATGGGTTTACCAGTGGCTGTGGAATTGAATATCCCGAGAGTCCGATCGTGCAAAAGATGCCGGATGCCGAGAGAAAGAATCCAGTCGAGGGCACTGACTATCTTTCTGGTATCCTTTGTCCGGGTCGGAGGCTGTTGAATGTCAAATACCGAAGACATGCCGATGGGAACCGGCGGAACTTGCATGATGGTAAGTCCAAGTGTAGCAAATCCCAAAAGCCGACGGTAGCTGACAAGGGCCAGATTTTCTGTCAACTGGCCGATTCCGTATTCTTTGTCTCACATCAGATGATCTGTTGTCTCCGAAGGGTGTCTCTGCCCAGACATTGCGGACAATAGGGTCTGCAGTGCTGTCCCGGTTCCCTGCATCTGTGATTGAGCAGGTTGTGATCCATCCTCGTTTGTCTCGGGAGTTCACTTGGCGTGATTTACCAGCCGAGCTCAAGAAACACTCGGAGATGAGCTTTTACAGCGGCTACGAACTGGACGACGTGTACAAGATCTACGGTGTAGATGCTGCCCAGGGGGCTCTGGCTGTTGTACGACCAGATGGATATGTGGGCACGGTAGCTGCATTGGACGACGTTCAACGGGTGGAGCAATATCTCGAGCGGTGTTTAAGAACCGTCCAGACCGCGATATGATTCAGGTGATAACCGAATGTGCAAGGTCGTTCTGTCTAGACCCACAATCAATGCTACCCAGAAACTCATCGGGCACGAGGACATGGCAGCGGTCAATAAGGAGGCCTTGGACTAGTAGGGACCGTAGGCGTAAGGTGGTGCGCTCTGCCTTGATCCATGCTATCGGAGATCCGAAAGGTGCCTGACGGCCTAGTAGCGTCGATAGGTCGTATCGCCAATCCAACCAATCAGGATTAAATATTAGCATACATCGTCATCCATACATACATCAAGGTTGTCCCCAATGCATTGCCGCGGAAGCGAAGTTGTAGCCGGATAAAAATCCAGAAGTGTATGAGTCAACTGTGCTGTCGGAGATAAGTAAGAGATCGGCAACAACAAAGATAACTTGCAGGTGCCAACAGTGTACCACTAACACGACGGTGTATCGGACGTCCGCACGCTGATCAGGCAGCTCAGCAGGGAATGCATCCTGTCAATCGCATCCTACAGGCCAAAGTTGGTCAAAGCATCAAAGAAAAGCGGCCGGGGCCGCTGCACGTGACCCACGTGACGTGCCGGACAGCCGAGAGCCGAGCCTGCGAGCCAGTCACGTTTGGCGGTCACATTCCATGCAAGCAGACGTTTGCAACGGTGCAACACCCTCTGCAGGTCTCTTCGCTTTCCCGCCAACGGACACCCGCTCACAGCCTCGTGCCAATGAAAATAACCCGAATGCAATTGCTCACAGGTTGGATTGCCCATTTCGATCATAACGACTCGGGCCAGGCCGCTCCCGTGCACAAATCGTTGATAAGCGTGGAGCCGAGCTGACTGGTGGACCGACATCAAGCTTCACCTGCCGGCCAATGATGGCTTCATTCAGCGCAAATTCTAGAAAGGCGCCCCACAATCGGTGTTAACGGGGATTTAATCACCGTCTCTACAGCCATGGCTCAGTCAGGATGATATAATTAACCGGGGGTGTCCCAGGCCCAGGTTTCAGTTCTCTTTCTACGGTTGTTCCTGTTTGAGTTTTGCCTTGGCTGGGAACTTTGTATATAGTTCCCTTCTCTGCCTTTGGTCAAAATTTGTGGTTATGTCCAAAGAACATTCATCTTCGGAAGCCGGGTCCACCAGGTCGAGGTCCACGTCGCTGTCTAGCTCAGAGGATGGGTCCTTGTCGGGACGGCCTTACAGACTCGGGACGTTGAGGACGCGAACGAGGTCAGGGTCAAGACACAGTACAACAAAGGTCGAGAGGGTGCATTCTGGAAGACATCTAGATGATCATTCTGTCTATCACAGCGACAATGAGGTGGGCCTGGACTCGTCGTCCGATGACAGAGGGGAAAAGGACGAGCCTGTGCTCGAAGTACGCGCAGGTGTGGTGAACGAGCGTGACCGTGACCTGGAAGCTGGAACTCAGGCTACACCAGACCTGGAGAAGTCGCGGACTGCACGATCGGACAAATCCAGAGCAGACCCAAAACTGGTATGTCTGGTTTCTTTTTTGTTACCACTCGCGTTAACAGTATAGGTCACCTGGAATGGCCCCGACGATCCGGATAACCCCAAGAATTGGCCTATGAGAAAGAAGTGGGCGGCTGTGGTGACGGTATCCTGCTTCACCTTCATCTCGCCCGTATCCTCCTCCATGGTGGCGCCAGCCCTGAGTTCGATATCTGCCGACTTACACATCACGGACGAAGTCATCTCACAGCTCACCCTGTCCGTGTTCATTCTGGCTTACGCCGTGGGGCCGCTCTTCCTCGGACCACTCTCCGAGATCTATGGCAGAGTGATTGTCCTCCAGTTGGCCAACTTGCTTTATCTCGTCTTCAACATCGGCTGTGGTGTCTCACAGACCAAAGTGCAGATGATCGTCTGTCGATTCTTCGCCGGGTTAGGCGGCAGCGCTCCACTAGCAGTAAGCAACTCCCTCATACACACACACTCCTACTACCAATCTAACAACCCAGATCGGCGGCGGTGTCCTCTCAGACTGCTTCAAGCCCGAACAGCGCGGTAAAAGCGTCGCCATCTACAGTCTAGCACCTCTCCTCGGCCCAGCCGTCGGACCCATCGCCGGCGGCTTCATCGCGGAAAACACGACCTGGCGGTGGGTATTCTACGCAACCTCCATCGCCGACGGCGTGATCCAAGTAGCCGGACTCTTCTTCCTCCAAGAAACCTACGCCCCGATAATCCTCAAAAGGCGCGCCCAGAAACTCCGCAAAGAAACCGCCGACACAGACTACCAAACCGAATTCGAGCGCCAAAACAAGACCTTCGGACAGATCATGCGCGGCGCACTCATCCGACCCTTCCGCCTCCTCTCCACCCAACCCATCGTCCAAGCCCTTGCCGCCTACATGGCCTACATCTACGGCACAATGTACCTGGTGCTCTCGACCTTCCCTTCCCTCTGGACCAGCCCAGAATACTACAACGAATCCACCGGCATCGGCGGCCTCAACTACATCTCCCTGGGTTTAGGCTTCTGGCTCGGCTCGCAGATCTGCGCCCCGCTCAACGACCGCATCTACCGACGTCTCAAGGGTCAAAACAGCGGCAACGGGAAACCCGAGTTCCGCGTCCCACTGCTCTTCGTTGGTGCCTTCCTCATCCCCGCGGGTCTGTTCATCTACGGCTGGACGGCCCAAACGCACTGCCACTGGATTGCCCCGAACATTGGCGCGTGCTTGTACGGAATGGGGAATATCATCTCGTTTCAATGTCTGCAGACGTATATTGTAGACTCGTATACGCGGTTCGCGGCGAGTGCATTGGCGGCGGTGGCGTGTATGCGCTCGCTGGCGGGATTCGGGTTCCCGTTGTTCGCACCGTACATGTATCAGGCGCTGGATTATGGGTGGGGGAATAGTCTGTTGGCGTTTATTGCGATCGGGTTGGGGATTCCGGCGCCGGTGTTTTTGTGGAAGTTTGGGGAGAAGTTGAGGAAGATGAGTACTTATGCGGCTGGTTGATTGATACCCTAGATAGACATTGTGATTGATTACCACATAGCGATGAGATTGACATTCTATTTCTACAGTCCAGCATAAGCAAATAGGTAGATTTTCATATTACCCATCCATCAATCAATCAATCAATCAACCCCAAAAAACAAACGAAAACCTCCTCTCATCACAAAAGAAAAGCGGGAGAGGGAGGGGGATGGGGAAAAAAGAAAACGACAAGGACGTGATTCGAACACGCGCACCCGAAGGTATAAGATATCGTCTGTGGAAATGGATTGAAACAATCCAAGCCAGATTCAAGTCTTACGTCTTAAACCACTCGACCACCTTGCCGTCATTCACTGCAGCTTAGTCCGAGTGAGAGTTTTGGTACTATATCTCGGGGTTCGTGATGTGGTGTATTAGTCAGCGAAGCGTTCAGTGCACAACAACTTAAACTAGATAACTATTGTCTAACTACAGTGTAGTTGCTATTGACCCTTTCCATTGAAAATAACAATGGAAAGAGAATAACAGATATAACGGGAATTATATCCTCATTATTTAATTTTTGAGACCTTTTGGGAAGGATGGTGGTTATTGCGGTCTATAGTCAATTAGCTTGACCAGCTTAGTTGTTATTCGGACAATGTCGGCTTATTATTTATTTGCATGAGTACTAGGCCAACAAGTTAAAATTTGATATATTACACGTGGAAGTCGGATGGTGTTCGATCGTATATAGATTATTGTTGGATTAATGGTTATTGAAATTATGCACTTAAGCTCAATGGTTGATACTAGGTGGGGGTGGCTTCTATCCTGTGTCACGGAGGCTTCACTTTATCCCTCCTCGGTACCTTATGTAGCTTGATAGTCAATAGAGAATATCGTTGCTAGCTGATGGTGGATTGCAATTGTCGGACGCCGTGCAGAGCTATGTGACTACTTATTTCCGCCATCGGCCATATGGTAGTAGATGCTGTTTGGCGTTCAGTGTTAAGCGTCATTTTTTTATGCGTAGTAGTACGGTTAGGCATGTGCTGTTGATATATCTGGTTTCTGATACAGGCCTGGAGTGGTAGTTGCCAGTGTTAGGACCAGGAGCCTTAGGCGATCGATACTAACTACTACATGCGCTGAATCAACTCACGGTGTCATAAGTGTTAGCCGCAGCCTTATGGCTATATGAAATAACCAGATAGAAATGTATCATCAATTTCAGGCACGATATTCAGAAAATAACCTCGAGCATAGCCTTAGCTGTGTCCGTTCACTTCACCCCCAGCACCACCCCATCAGTCCACATCCACCTAGTGCCATCAACAGAATTCCATATACTCCCCTAGCTGTTCAACATCAAGCACCCAATCCTTCTCCTGAGGCTTCTCTGGGTCCGGATCCCGCAAGAAAAGCTCCTGAAAAGTCATCACAAAAGGAGGATTCAGCGCAGCCAACCCATTCTCCGTCTTCCTCACCACCACCCGCTGATCCATCTTTGGACCCTCATCTCCCGTCACCCACTTCTCAATCCCCATTTCGTTCTCCCCGATATCCATCAACACCACTGTCTTCACATCTCCCTTACTCCACTCAATCCACAACTTCGCCTCCCTTCTCAGATACTCCAACCCTTCCGGCCACCCAACATGCAGCACCATATGAGGCCATTTTCGACCCTGTCCCGGAGGCAAGTTACGCGGATACCAACTCAAGTCTGGTTCCTTCACTACATCTCCTTCGGCCACTGTTGCCGCGCCACAAGGAACGATCCCACGGCGTAAGCCCGTGGCATACCTATATCCTGATAGTGAGGTTTCGAACAACCCCTTGGCAAATTCCAGCCGTCGAGATCCGCCTTTCATGATCAGGGTGCGGGAGGAGTAATCGTAGGTGATTCGGGCTTTGGTCTGGACGAATCGGTCTAGCTCCAGGGACTGGGTGATGAGAGTGTGAGGGACATTGGTGAAGTGGAGGTAAGGTGTTTTATTGGGGTCGGTGTCATAGTAGAGGCGGCGCATGCGAGTTGGGCTGGTGTAGGGGTAGGTGACGCAGAGGGAGCTGGGAGGGATGTTTGGGAAATTCCCCGGGACGGGAGTCGGGGTGGAAGACATTTTGGATTGTTGTATGTTAGACGAAGAGTGTATGTGGGTATGTAAAATGAGGGCCTGCGTTGTGTGATCAATGTTAGCAGGTCGGCTGCTGGCTGCCGGCTGGTGTTATAGTTCACTGGTAGTGTCAATGGTAGGTCATAGGTGGAGGGAACTTCCGGTGGAAGGTTGGGGATTTCCAATACCCAACATGTTGATTTCCTTGTCTATAGAGGTGAATCGGACTAACCTAATCGACTTCAAATGTTCCACTGAGGCACTAGCGGAGGAAGCGTTCGGTGCAGAGGATGATTCCTGGGAGTATCAGCCAAGAGACATGATGCCAAAAATATATGAACGAGGAGTACGATTCCAGTCGCTTAGAAAGACAAATTGGCAAAAAGGAGGTGAAGGGGAACATCCGAAGAAGCAAGGAAATCAGGTGACTGGCATCTTTCTATGACAGGCAGCGACGAGTGGAAGCCTGTGAAAGATAAAAATACTTCACTGTGTCTAACAACTAGCCTCGTAGTGAAGCATATCAGCGCATTAGGAAGGCCTGCTAATCTTCTATTGGATCTCCAGAAGCACAATATTGTAACGAGCGACTAAGTTAAATAATATTTCCTCGCTATCCTACATCTGCGACAAGCCCAAATACAGACAAACACCTCACAATAATCTCAAACTTAAGCAGAAGCACTGGGGGCGGCGCTGCCACTAGGGGGAGAGCCACCGCCACCACCCATACCAGAGCTAGAGGAATCGTTCTCGACGCCACCATCAGCAGTGTACTCCGCAGCAGGGGTAATCTCGCTATCCTCAGAGACATCTACACCCAGGGAAATCCATCCAAAGACACCATCGCTCACATCGTCACCGAGGAGGACGTACTCGACGAAGGGGTCAATGGTGTCGGCCTCCTCGGAAAGGATGCTGTCATCAGCGTTCTCGGTGAGCTCCTGGGTGTTGGTGCTGTAGGGGCTGGTGGCCTCGACCTTGGTGATCAGGTCCTGGTCGAAGAACAGCTGGCCGACGTAGTTGGCGTGGGAGGTGTAGAGGCCGGAGATGGTGTTGTTGGGGAGAACGGTAGTCTCGTTGGGGGAGTGGGAGAGGACTATTGTAGAGTTAGTATCAGGGGAGTTATTTAGGAAGGTATGAGACGTACCGTGGATATGGGTCGCACGGCTGGTGTAGTGTCCAGGGAAGATGGAGGTGAACTGCACGACACCGTCGGAGTCGGTCTGCTGGATACCACGGAGGAAGGTGGCGTCCAAGTTGGAGGTATCGCTGGAGTCGCCGTTGCCGGAGGCAGTCACGCCAGAGTAGACACCCTATACATATCATTAGTATGTCCGCGACGCAGAATTGATTACGTATTGGCAAGATAACGTACAGTAGCGTTGCAGTGCCAGATGTCAATGTAGATCTCCGGGACGGGCTCGCAGGTGCTGGTGTCAATGAGCTGGATGTCCAGGTAGAGGGGCACACCCTCCTGGGTCTCGCTGATGTCGTTGCGGATGAGCTCGCCAGTCACATCTAGTCTAGTTAGCTACATGAGTCCTCATGGAGGAAAGCATAGTCATACAGTAAGGACCCTGGGTGACATCCGGGCCGAGAACGCAGGTGGCGTTGGAGGCAAAGAGGACACTGGGGTCAGTCTCGAGGTCCACGTTCAGAGACGAGTGGTGGGTGGTGTTAAGGATGGTGTCGAGGTCGCGAGCCTTGAGAAGGGGAGCGTCTATCCTTGATTAGTCTGGGCCAATTTCCAGCGGTAGAGTGAAAAACCATACGGGTCTGCAGGCCCCTCTTCCGACGAAGGGCATTCACAGCGTTCTCGCGACGAGCAATGCTCTGCCTCTCAAGGCCGCGGGCCTTCAGCTTCGCAGAGCAGTCACTCAGACCGCGAGGAGCACGCTTCATGAAGGCAGCGCGCTCAGCAGCTTCGGCACGGATATCGTGGCCGGGGTGAGCGGAGACGACGCTGGCAAGGCCAGCCAGGCCGGTAAGGAGCGTGTTCAAGTGAACCATATTGATAGATATCAACTGGAAAGGAAGGTAGACAGAGAATGAAGGTAGATGATGAGCGCTGGTGAGGATGTTGTTGGATGCTAATGAAATCTATCCTCCGGGGACAGGTCGCTTTATATCTTTTTCCTACAACCCTTCATGTCCATCAGGGTGATGCTATCCAGCTGACGCAACCCAGGGACCAGGCTGCCAAATGAAACGCCCGCAATTGTTCAGCTGTCGCCAAGGGCTTGGAAGGCTTCGAATTGCTTCATCGTGCTGGGGCCAGACCTTTGATAGGTAGGGCACGATCCCCCATGACGACGCGGCCCGACATCCACTTGTGGAGAAGGGGTTGCTGAATTATGGCTAAGTTGCGACAGGCTCATGCATAAATGGGCGTCTTTTCAGGTCCGCAGCGTTTTCGGTTTAGCCCAGGGTAGTCCAGGGTTACTCATCTCGATAATTGGAACCTGTATGGGTCTTGAGAAGCTTCTAGCTTCACTAGCTCGATATTCTCCAGCCAGAAATGGTAGCCATGGAATTTGGAATCAAGTCCCCAGAGTATCTCATACCTATCGAGCAAAAGCAAGCCAGCCCGTAATCCCAGCGCATCCCTCAGCCCAGTCAGTTGATGTTTTCTTTGAAGAGAGAACTGACGGATACCTCGGCCAGTCGTCAATCAACAGCAAGGTATGCTCCAACAGGATCTAACTCCAACACCTTCGCTACCGAGCCACGATCCAGGTTGATCGTCGTCTCCACCAAGTGGATGTGCCGCTTAATCATCCAGTTTGAGGAGGCTTGGCACCACCACGGCAATTGTATGTCCGGAGATTCCGACGTTCGCAATCCTACTATTCAATCTCCTCTCTGGCAAAGACTGTCCACGGGGTACTAACGATTCATATGCCGCTGGGACTTGGCAATCAGGAGCGAACAAGGCGTTTGTCGACACACATGCAGTTTCACGGGCCGAGGACCTCAGAACGGCTGTTATTGGCCGATTGGATTCCTATCGGGCCATTCCATGCATCGGTTACGCCAAATATCCGTGATCTGAATGGAGAGTCTCCGGAGGACTGTGGCGCGGATTGACAGGCCCGAGGTTGAACCGTTCGAAGGATAATCGCCCTTCCACAAGCAAAGCAGGCGGCCGTGCGTCGAGATGTAAATCAACGGGATAGTATACGCGGACGAAAGGCCATGCCCTATCAGGTAAACCCAAAATTAGCACCTCTCCAGCACAGAGCC